GCCCAAGTGACACTGCTTCCTAGGCTCATAGCATCCCAGTTTAGTTTTTATGCTTCTTCCCTCCAGAAAAAGGGATCATTTATTTCCTTGTATACACAGAGGAACATAGAGACACAGAGAAGTGACAGGCAGATGCAGTAGAAGGAAGAAAAACCAAGACTGAGAAGTCAGCTTATTCACGCACCAGGCAATGCCTTTTGCAGAACTAATTTTGTAGACTTAATTAATAGCATTTACTTCCATTTTGAGCCTGACGTACTGGCATGATGGCAGGCACTTCACCCGGACTGTATTTCTTTGAGATCCTCACACACCATGAGGGGGGAATTATCGCACTTGCCAAATGAGACAATTAACAATGTGTGGTGTTGGAGCGTCACCCCAGGACTACACAGCCTGAATTTTCAACCAGCCTACTCCCCTGTGTGAAATACATGCCTGGAACGCCAGATCCGAGCTGCAGGTGATCCGTGAAAAATTGACCCTTGCAGTGCCGTTTACAAGATGAAAACTCCTCAGGCAGAAAAGGGTTTTGAAATATTCTAGAAAGTTCTTTGCTGGTCTGCCTTCCACAAATATTAATTGTTTGCATTTATTAAGCACATGATTTCTGCTAGGCTTTGTTTTAGATGCTTTGTGTGAATGACTTCATTTAAATTCTCACAAGAAATCTGTGAGGTAGGCTCTGTGATTATCTGCATTTTGCTGTGAGGAAACCACAGCCCAGAGAGGTTGCCAGACTTGCCCAAGACCGCACAAGCAATAAGCAGTTGTTTCCAGTCTAACTGGACAGCCACGTTAAACTTGACTAAGATCCTCAGTGGCCACCTCTTACGAACATGATGTTGTTTGGGGCATTGTGAGGTATCTCGATATACACCACACAATCTCAAGATACATACGTCTTCCAAATTTATCAAATCAAAATATGCAGAATTGAAAATGTAAATATCACTATAAGACAAATAGGCAAGACATGGCCTAAAGAAGCAGAGGGAGGATTGCATTTCTGTGGCTCCCCTCCATGTCTAGCACTTAAAATGTTACCTCACTTAAGCCTCAAACCTTGCAAGGCAGACACTGCCCCCATTTTACAGATGAGGAAATGGGGGCTTCCAGGTAAATGGCCCAAGTTCACACGGCTGCTAAGGGGCAGAACCACATTCAAACTGGGATTCATGTGGGCTCAAAGCCGAGACTTCTGTAATCATTTTTATTAACATCCAACACCTCACCTTTTTTATGTGTCTCCTGAGTGTCAGTGCAAATACTGTTAAAAAACAAACAAATCAGAGGGCCGGCCCCGTGGCATCATGGTTAAGATTGTGCACTCTGCTTCAGCAGCCCAGGGTTCACAGGTTCTGATCCCGGGCACGGACCTATGCACCACCCATCAAGCCATGCTGTGGTTGTGACCCACATACAAAATAGAAGAAGATTGGCACAGGTGTTAGTTCAGGGCCAATCTTCCTCACCAAACCAAACCAACAAAGGAATGTTGCCCTGACTCCATTACACATTGTAGTTGAGAGCACGTGGAATATCCATGTATTCGCCTAAACCCCCACAAACATGTTTGTCCCCATGCTGGAGCCCCCTGTGCCTCCATTTTGTGTCTGACTCGCATTCCTACAGACCTGCTTTATGTGGAAGTTCTACTCCATGGCCTCAGGTTTCAAAAACGAAGTCTGATTGGCAAACAGGCCTGAGCTCCCAAAGTCAGCTGCCTGGTCCGCTCACAATGAACAATGGATATGGAATGTCCACTCCGTATACATTCCGGAGAAATTCATTACCCAGCTCATCAGAACAAGCCAAGGACACCCCTTGCATCAACACTGGGTGTCACTGATGAATACGCCCATTGTGGAGGCAGTCCCAGACATGCAGAGGGGAAAATTCCAAACAGACCATTTTCTTTTTCCTTTTTTTTAAAAATCACATCACATCACGTGATTCCTTCTCTCCGACATCAAATATCCTGCTGTTACAAGGAGCAAGACCAAATTCTCTTCAGATTGGGAAAGATAACCAACATGGCTAAGAGAAGTTCCTAGAAAGAACCAGGGGACAGTGAATTCCACCTGCCCTGCTGACGGTTGTACATCTGATAGAGATTTTACACCACATTATTTGTTAAGGAAAAAAGAAAAACATTTTCTCAATATCATCTTTAGTCCTAACTTGTGGTCAACACTCTCCCACTGCACTCCCCAAACATCACTGTTAATTTTGGACCAAGCGACACTTATTTACTCATTTTTCAGCTTTGGATAAACAAATTGGACATGTTCAGAGGGTTCTTTTCCCATCCCTCTGCTCCTATAACTCTGTGATGTTAGTGTCGTGGAACAACTTTACCAAAACAGTAAGGGGAGGAGGGGCAGGAATGTCACCTCATACCTGACAGAGTCAGACATCAGGTTCTAGCCATGGTTCTGACCCACGCGTTGCCTGGCCAGGCAATCTTAATCAAGTCTCCACATGGCTTCTGCAAGCCCTGGCAGCAGCTTTGTGCCAATGAGGAGAAAGCGTCCCTCTGGGGAGAAGCAGCCCCGTCAGCCTGGCAGCACAGGGCTTGGCAAGTGTAACCCCAGCTGGACTCCAGCCCCCACCGCCCCTCAGCCAGGGACCTCAGGCAGAGCCTAAGCTGCCTAGCCGTTCCCAGAGCCCTGGGTCTCTCTTTCACAGTTGTGAAGTGGGATAGATCATTAGTGTTCCACCAAATTCTCTGCACTAATGAGACTAAAATGACATACAGAGCAGTTTAAGAATCAGCCCATTAATAGGAGATTCTGCTGCTCTGGTTCACTTCCTGAGCCCTCCATAATACTTCTCATGAAAAGCAAAGACTCCATTTACTCTGTGAGATTGCTACTTCCCACACTCAGAGAACCACCCCTTCCAGACTTGGATCAAAGAGCAGGGTGGGCTTCAGAAGTGTGCAGCCTGGGCTGTTGCACAGGGCCCCATGCTCAGAAAGGCCTCCCACTCGGTTTCACACTCTGACGTCACCATCTTGAAATTCTTAATCATTTCTGAACAAGGAGTCCTACATTTTTCTTTTGCACTGAGGCCTGCAAATTACGTCGCTGGTCCTGCCAACAAGGCTTCAGAGGCACCGGATGGCTTTCTTACACTACATAAAAGACTTGGAAAGGAAAATGGGATATGTCATCCCTCTGCTGGACAGGAAAGCCTCGGTCACAATTAGAGTGTGAGGCAGGATGGTGCACTGGACCTGAGAGCATGGGCTTTAGGAGGCAACTTGAGCTGGGTGCAACCCTGCATCCTGCAAGACCTCCCACAAATTCCCTAAAAGGAGACTATTAATGCCTGCTCCTCCCTGTTAATAACGAAGAAAGGGCAGTAAATGAAGAGATTGTCTGGCACGTCACAGGTGCTCAACAAATGTAAGCCCCCCTCCCAGCTTGTTTCAGGGATAAATGTCAAGATGTGCAAGGCACTCACATTCCAAAAGGCAGAGGGCGATAGGTGGCCTTTAGCTCTAGGATCACATGATTCTCCATTAACCAAGGCTTAGAAGCCAGCCTTCCTCCAGTCCATGGATATTAGAATACTTTTAGTTGCAAGGGCAGAAAACTAATTCATATTAACTAGAGAAAGTGGGAGTTTGTTAGTTATTGAAACTGGGAAGTGCAAGGATACAGGCATTGCTGTATCTGAGGATTTATACAATATTATTCAGTTTCTCTCTCTCTCTCTCTCCATACTTCCACTCTTTCTGTCTCCACTTTGCTTCATTCTGGACTCATGCTCCTTTCGTGTGGTGGATAGGATGGCTGCCAACAGCCTGAGACTCACACTCTCTCAGCTTAGCAAGCCCGTTAGGGAGAGACACGTATCCCTGTCAATATCTACATATCAACCAACGGAAAGATTCTAATCCATCCTGCTTGGATTATATCCCCACACTTGAACCAGCCATGATTGCCAGGGTGACGGGGTTTGTGCCCACCTGAGGGTAAGACCGTGGGGCTCAAGCTTCATGATTGACAGTCCCAATGAGACCACATGAAATGAGGGGAGGAGAAGTTCCCCAAAGGAATAGCGATGCCAGACCAATAAATGCAACATGTCCTCTGTGCCTGACGTGGTCCCTATTCATTCCCAGTGGGTGTCAAAGGAACTGAAGGGAGGGAGAGGGGAATCGGGCGGTGTAGGCAGTAGTGCTTAAAGCGGCCTTCACTGAAGGATGGAAAGAAAGAGACACACGTCATCAAAGAGCATCTCTGTGAGGAAAGGCAAAGATCTGAGAAAACACAGGGTGTATTCAAGGCTACTAATTACGTAACTGCAATTAACCTCACATCGTTAAATTTTTAATAGTGGTGGACAAATTAGTGCATGTATTATGCCAATGACTGAAGTCTGGGAAATGTTAGCTTAGTATATACATAGGTCTTTCTTTCGCCAAGGAGTGGTAAAAATCAGTACTGTGCTATTGATGGTCCATATGGTATCTCTGACAAACTAAATATTATGTCTCTCATTGTGTGGATGGCAAAGCCTTAGCACTGGTCACTTGATCTCTAGTGAGATCCTAGAACCCTCAGCTTCTGGCTGGCAACACCTATTCCCTAGATATACTGTGTCTCATGGTAAAAAAAAAAAAAAAAAAAGGGAAAACCAGCACTCTTGGACAGTGGCCCACTCTATCACTCTCTGTTTCAGAGACAGACACACAAAAGTGGGGCTGATGTGAAATCGCTCATCCCAGAATTGGCCGGCTGATTGTCCTTGAGAACAGAGGGGACCATTCTCTGTGGTTCTCCAGGGCCAGCAGGCTCCAAGGAGTACCAGCCATCTCTTTGGGGCCAGAGGTTCCCCAGCTGATTGCCACATGCACCCACGTGCAAAGTGGCAGCTGGGCCCTCAGTGGGATGACTGCTTGGTCTTCCAGTTAGCTACCAATTTCAGCCAGAGATAATTTAAGAATGTCTATATTGTCCACTTACCTTTTCAATTATTTTCTGCAGGCCAAAGTGAAAAGTCCTCAGGGTTTCGATGTGGATCAAGATGTCAAAAAGCTGAACAAAGCCTGCAAAGGAATGGGTATGAAAGATATTTTGTTTGCTAATTTACTTTCGAAGTTGATTAAACTTGACCTCACATCCAGCTTTCTCATGATCTTAGGAAGATGACCTCCCACTCACCTTGTATATTTCAAGCTAATCCAACTTGATCGCTTCTAAGGTTCTCTTTATAAAAGGCCCCAAAGTTATAATCAGATCCTATTACTTTTTAGGATTCAATATAATAGTTAGAAATTGGATATTGTGACATTTAATTTGATGTTGACGTGGGAGAAACTTCCCAAGAAGAGTAGTTCATGCAATCCTAATGTCATCTGTACCCCTCTGATCCCTTTCGTGGGAGGTGGTAGAGAATCAGGTCTGACGAGAGCTGGATTAGGCTCGGGGAGCTACATCTAGAAACAGATCAAGTGAACTTACAACTGTGGCCAAGGTCAAGAATCAGCGGTCAAAACTAGAAAAGCTGTTTATGTCCAGGCCTAAGGGTAAGTGCATGGCCAAGAGTCGGGGACTAAGCAAGAAATCAGGAGGGTAAACCCAGGAACACGGCAGGATGACAGCGAGAGCATCTAGGACTAAGGCCATGAAGAGACACTCTGGGACCCAAGGAAGTTGCTGATGAAACAAGGTTCTAGTCCCAGGAGCCTGGAAGAAGGTGGAATCCAAAGCACAGACAGGAGTTACCTTGAGCAGGAGGGGGGAGAGAAGGAGGTGAAACTGAGAGCAGGAATAGATATATTCATGGGTGTTGTGAGGGGAGAAAGTGGAGGGTGTTCATGCCTGGTAATCTGATGACATTGCTCAGCCAGTGGGAGGCAAGATTATCTGCTAAAGAGATGGACATGACAGAGGAATATGGGGCTTGAGCAATAATTTGGAGTATTTCTTGAGTAGAAAGGAAGGGAGAGGTGAAATCAGCAGTAAAAGCCTGCTGATTATGCTGAGGGCCCCATTGAATAGGAGGAGGAGATTTTTACTTAGAAGTAAATTAGTGGAGATTTGCTTTCCTAGGAATGGGTGTTGTGGTGGAATAAATATGGCTGTAAATTCTTTGTGTGATTCCAGAGGAAAGAACTGGGATCTGTGGTGGAAAATCTTAGAAGACATATGTTGCTTCAATACAGGAAGTGTCCAGCTATAGAATAGTCTGCCTTGCTCAAGAAATGTTGGAGAAGTCCCAAGGGAGTTGCGGCTGGGGAAGATCTGGTGGGGAAGTGGTAGAAGGGCTTGCTACATATTAAGCGTTCTTGAATAAATCACAGAGGGAGAAAAACAGAGGGAGCTAGAAATGAACAATGACACCTAGGTTGCTTGGTTCGGCGTCATCAGAGGAGAAAGCACAGGGCTTCCAAGAGCAGAGAAGAGCTGCTCATATCCTGACCTGGCTAACATATATTTGGACAACAGCTATTGGAGATGGGTTTGCCTGCCAGCGGCAGGGTGTTTACAGTTCTGAGTTTTGTTGAGAGGCTGAGCCAGCCTCACAGGTGCTTCTCTGCTGCTTCTCCAGTGAGGTCCTGACACCTGGATGGGAGTTGGAGACAGGAGCTGAAGTGGGTGTGGGAATGGTTCAGCTGTGCTGAATGATAAATCCCTTCATTCTTTAGTCACCAAGTGAGTTCAATTCAATAAGCCCAGATGGAGCTCTTACTATATGCCAAAGTCACAGTGTTCTTGTCTCCCTTTTGGATGTGGCCACAAGGTGGGACCACTATTGTGCTGGTAACTGTTGGAGAGCACCTTCTATGTGCCGCATGCTAATCTGGGTACTGCACGCACATTATCTATGTAGTCCTCCGAACAACCCTGTAATGCTGGGTTATTATAATGACTTAACAGACAAGAATGCTGAGGCTCAAAGGTTAAATATCTTGCCCGAAGCTGAAGAGTTGTGAAATCAGGGTGGGGAGATTGGAAACTAGGGCCGTCTTGGAAAGCCATGATTTGGTTGAAGGTCTAGAATTCCAAACTCTATTAATATGTGCAAACAAAGCAAAATAGTATCGTCAGCAAAATTTGTCTGCAAGACCACGCACCCATCTTAGTGGTATACTAGCCCTCCCAGGGCTGGATTTAAATGTCCAGGGCTATGCTGTCCAATGGCCACAAAGATGAGCCACATATGTAATTTTAAATTTTTGAGAAGCCAAATTTTAAAAGTAAAAAAAATCAGGTGAAATGAGTTTTAATAATAAACTTTATTTAGTTAACTCAATACTGTATTGAAAATATTTCAGCAACCAATATAAAAATTCTTAATGAGATATTTTACATCCCTTTTTTTTCCACATTAAGTCTTTGAAATCTGGTATGTTTTCTACATGTACGGAACATTTCAACTTGGACCAGCCACACTTCAAGTCCTCAGTAGCCACATGTGGTGAGTGGCTACTGTATTGGACAGAGGGGTCTAGAGACCCTACACATTCAAAAGATTATGTGCACTCCCTACCCACTCATCCACCTATGTAATTTGAAATAATAAGAATGCTATACCATAAAATAGTATTTTATTTTTCTAAATAACACAAAACTTCCAGATCTCTTTACTGTTTCTTTGGTGCCCCTGCTTTCCTGGGTCCTAAGCACATGCTTGGTCTGGGTCTTGGTTGACCCAGAGCAGCCCTCTCCCCTCTCCCTGATGCTGAGGCTCTTTGTCAGGCCTTCCTCTTGGGGCTCTCTGCCCCTCTGCTGTCCTCGTCCCAGCTCCCAGGCACCTCACCACCAGCCTCTGCCCAGAGCTGCCACTTGTTGGGCCACCCCGGCAAGGCCCTTCTGAACAGAATGTCTTCTTCTTGACCGTGTATGGACCCCAACATCCATTATCCTCTCTGAAATGTAAAAGGATGCTTGTCATTCTCCCTCACAGAATCACAGAAACAGTCTCTCAGAGGGAAAAGCTGCCATGGAGAGTATCTAGTCCATAATATTTCAGACTTTAATGTGCATTTGAGTCTTCAGGGGAGCTTGTTGATATGCAGATTCTGATCCTGTAGTTCTGAGCGGATTCTGAGATTTTGCGTTTTCAAGAAGTTCCCAGGTGATGCTGATGCTGCAGGTCCTGGGACCACACTTGGGGGAGCAAGGTCCAGTTCCTCTGAGATCCATGGGGGTCAAGCAATGCTGCTCAAGTCACATAGGAGCAGAATCAGGCCTGGAACTCAGAGCTTGTGACCCTGAGCCCAGGGCTCTTTCCACTTGCCAGGTATGGGAAAGAACTTCGGACCTGGGTTTGAGCCCCTGCTCTGCCGCTGAGTTTCTCAGTTTTCTCACCTGCAAAATTGGATTAATCATGTCTCCTCACGTGGGGGTGATCAGGATAAAGGAGGCAGCACCTCTCTATATGCTAATCTCCTCCTTCTGAGCGATATGCTCAGATCCAAAACCCACACCATGCCAATTAGATCTGTGTGAGCAGCGGAGTAAGGCGACCCTTGAGTTGCCTTTGTTCTCCATCACTGAGGGTGTACCAGGGTGAACAGTGGCCCCTTCCAAAGATAGGCCCACCCAGAGCCTGTGAATGTGAACTCATTTGGAAAAAGAGTCTTTCCAGATGTAATTAAGTTAAGGATCTTGAGAAAAGATCATCTTGGATTACCTGAGTGGGCCCTAAATCCACTGACAAGTGTCCTTAAAAGACACAGAAGAGAAGAGGACACACAGGGAGAAGCCCATGTGAAGACGGAGGCAGAGTTTGGAGTGACGCAGCCACAAACTGAAGGACACCAAGGACTGGCAGAAGTTGGAAGAGGCAAGGAACAGATTCCATCCTAGACACTCTGGGGGAGCGTGGTCCCACGGACACCATGATTTCAGGCTTCTGGCCCCCAGAACTGTGAGGGAATAAATTGCTGTCGTTTTAAGCCACGAACTTTGTGGTAATTCCTACAGCAGCCTCAGGAAACTAATACAGAGGGCAAGTGAAAAGCAATGACCCTCCCAGGCAGGCAGGATTCCCCACTTTGTTACTCCATCTATCTTCCCCTCACCCCCATTTCCGAAGGACACTGAGGGCCTGGGAAGCCTCGTGGTGTGAGTGGGAAAGACTGGCCCTCAGGCATCAGAGATGGGGCTGCGGCCCCTGGGCTCCAGGGAGCCAAGGCTGTGGCCACAATTTGGAGTCTGGGGAAAGCTGAGCCCTGCCTCCAGCACACTGCGGGGGCCACTCACGGGCACATGGGCTCCTGGTGTCAAGTGGAGGGCACTTCAAACCCAGTGCCTCCATCCTGTTGAAACTCAGCTCGGTATCTTCTCAGAAAGTTGCTGGGAAAGCAGAAACAAGGAGGCCCTCCGGCACTCCTGGAGCCGATTATCACCCCGGCTCTGACCTCTGCTCTGTAATTATTCTCCAGTGTCCCATGCACAATCCGGGCTGAGGTTCCTTCTTTTCTCATTTTTTAAAATGTCTTTCTCGGAACCACTAGGGACTAGCCCCAGTGCCTCAAACCATTGTAAATGTTTACAGGAAACTGTTCAGCAGCACAGACTGCTTATATGACACACATTGTGAAATGTAAAATGAGATCACTGTTCAGTAAATCCCTTCTTGGTCGGGTGGTGGGAACAGCTCCCGGGTTAAACCTGAGACCTGAACTCAAAGGGCTGGAGGGAAATCTAGCCATTTCCACACTCCCCGCCCCCACCCCCAACCCACCCCCAACCTCCAGGCTGTTGCCGAGCCATCCCAGGCCTGCCTTGCTCTCTGGTCTCTCTTTTTAAAGCATTCTAGGAAGCAGAGTCTATATCACGCTATTTTTTAAATTTTAACTCAATTTTCCTGAATTATCCAAATGTGGGTTGACTATGGCAGCTTGTATGGCCCTGCTACATACAGCCCACCCAAGTGGCACTTGCAGCTTACACCAATGGAGAAAGAAGGTTCCATCATAATGCTGTGCCAACTTCTCCATTCATTCATTCATTCATTCCTTCACACATATACACATGCATTTAAACATTCATTCAGCAAGTTGTCTGATAAACATTGAGAGCCTTCTGTGTGGATATAGTGGTGAGCAA